CCTGAATAGCACCTGCCACTTCCTCACCTTCCACATGCTTCCACTAGACCAGCCGCTCTGCCACACTTGGCGTGGACCAGAACTTGGGCCACCCACTCCCCATAGCTTCAGACCCAGCACTGTCCCCCTGTGGGTCCCTGTGGACATCCCTCCTTCCTGGTGGGACTGGTACTCTTCTGGTGTAGGGGGATGCTTCTGCAGAGCAGACTCCCTGGTCCCCCCAGAGCGCTTCCTCGGTCCTGCCCTGCCCTGTGCTCAGGGTTCTGGGTGCATGGACTCAGGGCGGTGTCCCTGCCCCCACATCCCGTGGCAGGGAACTGGGTGTCCTGGCCTCTCCTTTCCTCCCTCCCCTCGCCTCCCCTCGGGCCCCAAGCTTATCCATTCCAGCTCACAAAGTGCTCTTAGATTTGTCTCAACCCCAACTATTACCCAGGTCCTGGGCCCTCTCCTCTGTCTCCTGACCCTCAGTACCCCACCCCTACTAAGAGCCCCGTGAAGGCAATCCTCAGTATAAAGTCCAAACTCCTCAGTGCCTTTCACAGAGGAAAGAGATGGTGCCGTTTGCACACAGCACCTGATGCAGGGCGGCTGCTGCTGCCTCCCCGTCTGGACTCACCCTTTCTCTTACGAGGGCTTCAGGCCCCATGGGCTATGCCATCCTGCTGCACTTCCCAGAATGCCCTTTGCCTGTAATGCCCACTTCTCTTGCTCCTTGGATGACTGGGCAGAGACCCCACCTCTTTCAAGTGGCCTTCCCTGTTCCCCCAAGGACACCCCCTCCTGGGCTCCTCCCACACCCAGGCCGATTGCTGGTGCACTCCTGCCCACAGTGTTACTGAGCTGTGCTTTGCTTTGTCTCTCCCTGTAGACCATGAGCGTCAGGAGCTTCAGGCTTTCCCTGTACGCAAACACCAGAAGACCCCCCTCTCCCTGCCACACCTTCTCCATGTGCTCTTCTCTCCTCTTCTGGGGCAGACGGAGTACTCAAACTGGGCCTCTTTCCACATTTACAAATGACTTTCCCTCTTCCCTAGTCGGCCCTGTCAACTTGCCCAAGTTCTGTGTCCTCCCAGGCACCTACACTCCCCCACCTCCACCCCTCCAGGCTCAGCTACAGGGCTGTACTCCTCCCACTGCCCACATCCATCTCCAGGCTCAGCCGCAGGGCTGTACTTCTCCCACTGCCCCGCCCCCACGTGCATCCAGGCTCAGCTGAGGGCTGCACTCCCCCTCATGTCCGTCCAGGCTCAGCTGCAGGGCTGCACCCCCCTCATGTCCGTCCAGGCTCAATTGCAGGACTGCACTCCCCCTCATGTCTGTCCAGGCTCAGCTGCAGGACTGTACCCCCCCTCATATCTGTCCAGGTTCAGCTGCAGGACTGTATATGCCCCCATGTCCGTCCAGGCTCAGCTGCAGGACTGCACTCCCCCTCATGTCTGTCCAGGCTCAGCTGCAGGACTGTACCCCCCCTCATATCTGTCCAGGTTCAGCCCCCCAAGTCCACCCAGGCTCAGGTGCAGGACCGAACGTCCCCCCATGTTCACCCAGGCTTAGGTGCAGGACCAAACACTACCCTATGTCCACCCAGGCTCAGGTGCAGGACCGAACTCTCCCCCCCATGTCCACCCAGGTTCAGGTGCAGGACCGAACACCACCCCATGTCCATCCAGGCTCAGCTGCAGGACCGCACTTCTCTTTCTGGTCCCCTGCCTCCTGCCATCCCCCCTGAAGCCCGCCCCACACATGCTCATCTTCACCACTCACTGGGAAGCCTTCTCTCTAAGCTGCTGCTGGCTGCTGCGCTGGGGCCACTCCCCTCTGCTGATGGTGTGCTGTGGGCGTGGCTGGCTCCCTCCAGGCCAGGGCAGACACCAAGTCCTGCTTAACTCAGAGCCGACGCTCACCTAGTGTTTGCACGTGGACTCTCAAACCTTCTGGGAACTTTCAGCACCAGAGCCATGGACAGAGACCCTTCCCATGAAATCTCTCCATCCCGGTCCAGCAGAGACGTCTCCCGGTGATCTTTATCTTTCCCTCACAGCCTCCTCCACCCAGGTTAAGCAAGGTTGAGGCTGGTGGGGACGCTCCCTGGTCCTTTTCTCCCAGCCCCGACTGCTCCACCTCGTCTGCTCAGAGCCTGCCTCCCACACCCCAAGCAGGATGGCCTAAAGATGAAGAGCACTGACTACCTCTGTGATCTTGGGCTACTTAGACTTCCTGTGCCTGTGTCCTCACCTGCACGACGGTTCTACAGCTACGGAACAGCCCCTGGAGCACAGCAGACGCTCAATAAAGACTTCTTGAACTATTACATGGAGGACTTCATGCATAACACCTACCTCCTAGGAGTTTGGTTAGAATTAAGGGATTTAATACATGCAAATGCATGAAGGGCAGAGTCCAACACTCTCAGCGTTAACTCTTTGTCCATTTCCTCCCTGTCCTTTGAAGGTCCTGGAGAGACTGAGAAGGTTGGGATTACTGGTGAATTTCAGGCGTGATTTTTGCTTGGATTGCAGGCCTAGAGGTGACACTGGTGGGACAAGGTTGCAGGTCCTCTCCCTCCAGTCCTTATCCTGACAGTCTCCCCTCGCTCCCCACCACTCGCCCCAGCGTTCAATCTTCTAGTGGCCGCTAGAGGGAGCCATCATAGGGGCGAGTTCGGTCCCCGGTCTATGCCGGGCGGAGTGCGCGGCCAGGCGCGTTAAGGGGTCGCGCACAGGAAGAGCGAGAGGGCGCCCGGACTGACAAGGAGGAGTCCGCTGCCCCCACCCCCCGGCACGCCCCTCGGCACGACGCCAGTCGGAGGGAGCGCCCGGACACCAAACTGGTTTGTGGACCGCGGTTAGAGGCGGGTAATGAAAGCCGCAGCGCCGTCGGGGCGGGGCACCGCGCGGGGCTAGAGCGCAGGCCGGTTCGGGAGGAGGAGGCTGCTGAGCGCCAGCCCGCCGCCTCGGGATTTCTTTCCAAGTCACCCAAGAGATCACCGGGCCAGGGGCAGCAGCTACGTGCGTGTCCCAGACTTGGCGTCCATGCCGTCTCAACCCCGCCCTCTTTGAAAACCAGCCGTCCTGTTTCTCGCCCCTTCGGCAACCCCCACACCCCCTTTCGGCTGTGCACGCCGGGATCGGGCTGACCTCTGTGTGCTCCGGATCGCAGACAGGAGGTGGGGCGCAGGGCCTGGGCTGGGGTGCAAAGTAGAGAGGGCCAGCCTCGGGTCGAAAGGAGTTGACGTCTCCCAGTCACCCAGTCCAATCCCTGCAGCCCCTAGTTCCCGCTTTGGGAGCGGAGTACGTGTGAGTCCCGGGTGGGCTCGCCTGAAAAGTTCCGGCCCCGGCCTCCCCTCGCTGCGGCGCCCGCGCCCGCGCCCGCGCCCGTCCCGGGGGAGCCTTACCTGAAGCCTGGGCAGACATAGCCTCCCGCTGCCCACCGACCGCGGGCGCAGCGCCGATCGTGGCCAGGTGAGGCCCTCGCGCCCGGACCGATGCCCCGACCCCCTCCCCCGCGGGACTGCGCAGCCGCCGCTCGGACTCCGCGGCCCAACGCCT